GAAGAACTCTAGTTCTTTGAGGTCTTTGGCTTGTGCTAGCCACACCCTCTTTGACTTCACTATGTCTAAAATTTCAATAATTGATTCGACATCGACCTCATCAATTTCTTTGTTGATTCCATAATCCATCAAAGGCTTGTTAATTACATCACGAGAATTTCAATCCCAGGCAAAGTTTTCATCAATCACAATGTCTCGACTTATCATAATCTTATGATTAATTGGATTGAATAACATGTATGCTCTAGTTTTGTGATATCCTACCAGAATCATAGGTTCACTTTTGTCATCAAGCTTAATTTTCCTCACATAAGGGATATGCTTGTAACAAGTAAAACCAAACACCTTCATATGACTCATTGATGGTCGTTTTCCACTCCAAAATTCTTCAAGAACCTCGTTCTTCAGTTTCTTGGTGGGAAACCTGTTCAGAATATAGACAACACTGGTGACTACTTCACCCCATAGGAATTTTGGCAGATTCTTCTGCTTCAGTATGCATCTCACCATATCCAATATGATCTTATTTCTTCTTTTTTCTATTCCATTATGTTGAGGAGTGTAAGGAGAAATTACCTCATGATTAATACCATGTTCAATACATAATTCCTCAAACATATTTGATGTATATTTTCCACCTCCATCTGTTCGCAGAACCTTGGTCTTATTTTCACTCTAGTTTTCAACAAATATTTTGAATCTCTTAAAGATTGCAAATACTTCATCTTTGTGCTTGATCACATAGATACAAAGATTTCGACCATACTCATCGACAAATGAGACAAAACACTTGTTTCCACCAATGGTATGCTCCTCGAAAGGGCCACCTACATATAGATGTACAACTTCGAGTATGCATAAGGATATTTTTACATAGTCAAAACAAAAGACTTTTTGGGTTGCTTCCCTACTAATCAGCCTTCACATAGTTTATCGGGAATCACAAGACTTGGTATACTCGTTACCATATCTTGAGTAATCAGTTAATTTAGTGACTAAAAATTCAGATGTCTAAACCTCAAAATTCCACAACCAACTATGCTTGTGGTCAACAACTATTTTTATACATTGTACTTCAGTCTAACTAATCATAGTCTTAAACATCTGATTCTTTGTTAGAGGGGATTTTAAGACCAAATTGTTCTGGGTGTCGAACAACTCTAAGGCTCCATCTTTCATGACAAATGAGAAATCTTTTTCGACCAGTTCTCCAACACATAACAGATGATGCTTCATGTCAGATACATAAAGTATATCTTTGATCATGGCTTTTGCTCTATTACTTATTTGAATAACTATGTTGCCAGTACCTTCGGCTTACAACGAGCTATTATCTGCAAGTCTGACCTTGATCTTCTTTGAATCATCGAAGTCTGCTAACCATACTCTTCTATCAGTCATGTGATTTGAGCAGTCTGTGTTGAAACAACTGGCTGCAAATTATCAAACAATAAAGTCGCCATCGAACGTCTTTTATCCCCACACGAAGGAAAAGGTGAACATCGAGAAAACCTGAGAAGGGAGAAGACACGGTCTTGCGACCGAGATATCGGGTAAGGGAGTCTGTTACCCAAGGGAAAGGTGTTAGCACCCCACACACCCGTAGTACTCTATGATATCCACTCTTATTATCTATCTTATGGGTGTGTTTAATCTATGTCTACTGTTTACTACTAAGGAAGAATGCATGCAAAATAAATGCGGGGAAAGAAGGAAATATTTATGAATTTTTCTCGGTTAGGCCCCACGACCTGTTGCCTACGTATCCCTTTCGAGGAATCAGAGCATCGTAGTTCGACTCGCATGTTTTTCTTTGTTTTGTGTTTTTTATGGGTGACGAACCCTTGTGAAAACGGTTTTGAGTTACGCTCTCAAGGCAAGATGCCACATTTGATTGATTTGTGTTTTGTTACCTTGAAAAAGGATTTAAATGTGATTAGCATGTTTTATGATTTGCCAAGAAAAAGAAGGTTTTAGTCTTAATGCATATGCAAAAGAGAAAGAAAATGCTAAGGGAAACGTCTACCTACGTTAGCATGCAAAAGACCTAAGGGTGAGGATAACTATCCTATAGGGAACATGAAAAGGGATCGAAGTCGTTATCTCAATTCTAATTGAGTGACATTATCGATCATTAGCAGTGGAAAACGATAAATCCCTAAGGGAGCATGCAAAGATCAAAGTCGTTATCTCAATTCTTATTGAGTGACATCATTGATGTTAACAAAGGAAAGCGATAAAATCCTAAAGGAGCATGCAAAGCTCGAAGTCGTTATCTCAATTCTAGTTAAGTGACATCATCGATCATCAATCAAAGAAAGCAATATAAGCATATGTGGAGCATGCAAAAGCCGAAGTCGTTATCTTAAAATTGAGTGATATCATCAGCCGTCAAAAGATAAAAGCAAACACAAGCACAATTAGCAAACGAGTATGGATTGCTTGCTACAGGTCTTTAAACAGCGACTTCGAGCGCACACTCTTTATTTTCTACTTCTCATGATATCTAGAAAAGTAATAAACAAATGCGATAAAGTGAGGGAAAATTTAAAAGCAGTTGCGACGACTACCAAAAGCAAGCAGATTGTCAAAAGCGGACGAAAGCAATGGATAAGTAAGGATTACACGTCGAGCAAGCTTCACCAAGAAACAAACAAAGTCAGAAACGATATATAACTAAGATAAAAACACACGCGTGTTGCAAATGCAATGCATAATCAGAAGTTCCTGCGCAAAGTATCACAAAATATTACATGCATCCGGATAACATATAATATAATATAAATTTCTCATGACGATGAGAAATGAGGCATGTCGCATCGGAAGCGAGGATAAGCCGTATGTTTTGATCACATAACAATTGTTATGTTACATGATCGAAAGCATAAAAATGTACCTTGCACAATGAACAAACGAGTCAAAAATAATAAGGCATCATTCACATATCAGAACCTACCGTTAAACTACTCATATTGCCAAGGAAATTGAATCAAGGATACAAAATAAAAAAGAATATGTTAAAATCCTAATTCTAATCATGTACCAAACATTAATTTAATTAATTCCAAACTAATAGAAAAATTGTGAAAAAGTATCACTAAGTCAAAGAGTAACATATTAGTATCTATACAAAATTTCAGCCAAAAATCATGGAAGAAAGTACCACAATTAAATCGCAAAAATTCAAGAAATAAAATGTAAATTAAGGTGGAAGTCTTAACAAAGGGGCGTGAAATCAGGGATTTTGGGAGTATTGTTTCAGCAAAAGAAACTAGGGCTCTAGGCCTAAATCATGATTCCACCAAAGGGTTTTTTGTCCGGTCTTTAGCATTGGGTTCCAAAAACCAGAAATCAGTGGCCTGGGCTTAGAAGTTTGTGATTCGGTCCAAACAATGACACAATGATCCAATTATTTTTGTTTAGTTTATTATTATTTAAGAAAAGAATCAACAAAACAGCAAAAAAAAGACTTAAATGAAAAAAGCAAAACGGTAACGTGTTAGCTCTGGTTTGTTAGGTTAAAGTTGTGACTATCCAACTTCAACATAGAACAGTCTTCTTCATCCCTTTTATATCAACATCATGGCGGCCAAACCTTGCTCAACATCATTGTTCAAGCTAACGCCGTGACATACCCACCATTCAACCTTCTTCTTCTCCTCCGCGGAACTCATCGTCTCTCCCTCTGTATCGACGAACTCCGATCGTCTACTCATCTCACTCTCTGTTGCTTCGACCTCCGCAAACCTTCTCAAACGACATCGTCGTAGCCTTTCATCTTTACCGTTCTCAATTTTCTTCCTCACCGTCGATTCTTGTTTAATCAACAAACTAAGACCCTAACTTCTTTAACACTTAATTTAACACTCCAAACACAGCTTTAGCTTATGATTCAACGGAGGTTTAATTTGTAAGGTTTTTCTCTACGCGACTGTATCAGAATCGAAACAAAAAGAGGAAAAGGTGAATGAGTTTGAAGCGATTTACCTACCGGAGGAGTTCTGGTGACTCTTTAACGGCGCCGATAGCACAAGAAATCTAGAGACCAGGTACGTTTCACTTCAGATTAACCTTCTTCTAGTCTTCTTCTTATTTTTTCATCTTAACTTCTGCGATTCTGTGATTCCGTGATGTTATTGTTGATTCTGCGTAACTCGCGATATTTATGAAACAAGTCGAAAATCTGAGTTGATGATGATGATGCAAGGTTGCAGATTCGTCGTTGTTGAAATACTGGTGACGAGGATTGATATCGTGCGGTGATAATTGTTGTATGAAGCTCTGCGAATTGAAGGTTGTTGAAGTTGTATTGATATGAAGATGAAGCCGTGCTATGAAGCTTCAGAATGAAGAATAGGTTCAGAGATTTTTCTAGGAAAAGGTTGACGAATAATTGTCGAGAAAGAGAGAGAGAGAGATCAAAGAGAGGTCTTGGTGATTTTTCTAGTGTGATTCTCCAAAAAGTGAAGAAGCGATTGAAAGGTATGAACCTGATTTATATTGGTTAGAGATCTAGGAAGTTAGTTATTCTGTTAATGATTTTTGATGTTTAGGATTTGTTAGAGAATTCAGTTGGAAAGTTTTGTTAGTACTGTTAGTGAATTGGTTAGGGGTTAGAAAAGTTTAGTTAGATATTTGGTTAGAAAGAGTTAGGGGTAGCTGGAATTCTGTTGGAAATCAGTTAGATGGTTGTTAAAGCTGAGCTGGAAAATTCGTTACCGAGTTAGTTTTGGTAGTTCTAATTTCTGTTAGGACAGTTGGAGAGTCTAGTTGGTTATAAGGGCTTGTTAAAAGTTAGTAAGATGGTTTAAGGTAGTTAACATAGCTTTCTGGTTTGGTTAGCATATCTCTGTTTGGATCGTTTTATTGACTGAACCATTTCCCTTGTGTACTATGAACTGATTAGTCTCTTGTATGCACATCATGGCCGATGACTTTTTGGATAACCTCCAGAGTGTATCATAAATGATTGAACCTCTGTACATGTTACTTTTCTAACTTCAACCGTGGCTCTGATTTTTGTATGTGAATTTTGAATTGGTTAAATGTTTGTAAAGTAAAATTTGTCTACTTGTTTTCATTTTGCTTTGGACTTTTGCATCGACTCCCATGTCTTGACCTAGTTGTGTGTAATGCCTTAATTGCTTGGATATGTAAGTTGAATGTTGCATAAATATTATCCCCCGTACATATGTTGCATGTATGTTGCTGATGGTGATGATAATCTAATATAAGCTGGAACTTGTCATGCGTGTAGCAGGTTAGCAGGCGTGTCACGACAAATGGGCAGGTTGGTCCTGCTGTAAGTATGTGGTGGAAAGGCATAAGAGCCAATGATGATAATATGTGTGCTACTGGTATTAGTGTTGAATATGAATTAGTTTTATGTGCAGGGGCTGTTTCAGTTAGGTGATTATGTATGGACAAGGTTTGGAGTCTTGGGCATAACATGAGACTTTGCAAGCTAAAGCATGATATGAAGGCAATCTTGAGGAGGAAGATTATGACATTAGGATTTTTGTTTTTTTTGGTTGTAATCTCCTTTGTGTAAATGGTTAATGATGTAATGTCCCTGGAACCTTTGTATGGAACTTTGTCTTGAAAGTTGAATGGATTTGAGCAAACTTGACATCTACTTTGCATTTGAATCCTAAGTTTCCCTTGATTTTGTAATGATTCAAAGAATGAACATATAATCTTAGAAACTCCAAGAAAGAATCCAAATATTCAAAGCGACCTTCTCTCTCAAGTTGAGCTTGAAATTCTCACCTTCTTTTGATTTAGTATTAACGAAATCCCATGGCTATAGTGTGAATAAACCTCAAGTGGCTGTAAAAGAGTAAAATTGTAATAAACATGTAATGTTTTTTTTGTGAGTTTAAGTGAAGCTTTCTTCAAAACATCTTCTAAATTTCCCTAAGTCTTATTTAATAACTTGCACCTCAAATAATGATTGGGGTCTATTGAGATTCACTGATGAACACAACCTCGTAAGAAAACCTCTTGATTGACACCTGATTAGGAAAATAAACCCTAATCCAAGCGGTGATGAAAACACCAAAAGACCTTCAATGCCTTAGCTCATGGTCACTTGGATGAAACCTTGTAGGAGGACCTTAACCTTATAGCCATATCATGTAATGAACGAAACCAAAGTGTTGAGAAGAAGTTCATTTAGGATGTATAGCCAAAGTTTGGAGATTCGCTGATAACCTTGAGCACAAGGGATAAACCTTAATTTATTATCCTTGCACTTTAAGTTGAGATAAACATGCAAAGCACGGAGAAATCCTAATGCACAAGTGAAACCTTATTATTCTCGACCATTGATCCCAAATGCCAAGTCTTGTGGTTAATGAATGCATGATATTGTGAAATGACCTAATGGAAGATATGCAGATGAAATGAGAAGTGCAAAATGCATAAGTCAGATAAAGATGAAAGGGTAAGACAAATTTGGGGTATGACATGTGTCGAGGAACTAGATCTTGGAGTTGACATGCTCATCTGCAACTGCATCCATAACCACCATATCATCATAATCATTTGAATCTTGACGTACAAGATTTGATCCTTTATGATCCTTGTGTTTTGTCACTCTATTGTCTTTATTGTACCAACAATTCTTAGTCAAATGACTTTAATTTTCATAGTTATAGCACTGCACTCCTTTCTTGTCTTTCTGGTAGGAGATTCCTTCTCCTCTTTTCAAGGATTCAGAAGCCCTATCATGTACTTTATGCTTTTGAGGATTCACCCAAGAATTCTTTTTTTGAGTCTTGTCTCTTTTTCCTTTGAACTTGTTGGAACCACCATGTTTCTTCCATGTTTGTGTCTATAGTGCTTGTATTGAATCTTGAACCCTTTTTCCTCTCAACAATCATTAACTCATGTGTCTCCAATGAACCAACCAAATCTTCTAGTTTCATGATTTCAAGATTGTTGGATTCTTGAATAGCTACAATAACGTGACAAAAATGAGAGGTTAACATGCACATTACCTTCTCAACTATCATCTTATCGGTTAAGGCTTCGCCACAACCTTTCATGAGACGTACAAGATTCTACACCTTCGCGACATAGCCTGTGATCTTTTTATCTTCTCCCATCTACACTAATTCATATTGCCTTCGAAGCGCCTGCAATTTTACAACTTTCACCTTCTCACCTCCTTCGTAATACTTGACAAGAATATCCCACGCCTCCCTCATCAATTCAACATGAGAAATTCGATCAAAGTTTGACGCGTCTACCGTCGATTGAATACAAAATGCCGCCTTGTAATCTTTCTTTTTGGCATCCTTGTGGACGGTTCTCCAGGCTTCAGTTGCATTTTGAGCCAACACATGAACTCCATTAGTAACCAATTCTAGGATTACATGAAAGCCAAACAACGTTTGCATTTGTTTACTCTATCAGATCTAATTTTTGTCGTCAAGAATTTAAAGATAATTTGAAATATTGTCATTGTTACCATTCATCTTTGCAGCGATTAATTAACAGTCCACGATTCCGAAAACACGATCATCGACATGTGATTCTTGAAAACACGATAAAAAACTCAACCGAAGCTCTAGATACCAATTTGTTAATGCTCAATGCATTTTGGAGAGAGAAAGGGTGAGATAGAAAATGAAAAGCAACCGATTGAATTGTTATTATTGAAGAAGTATAAAAATGAATTACAATAAATAAATATATATATATATATATATATATATATATATATATATATATATATATATATATATATATATATATATATATATATATATATATATGACTTATATACTAACTAACTAACATAATGAATCCTAACTAATTTGGACTTAGGCTACATAATTTGGATTATACTCTCAGCTAAATATTCATACATCTTCTACGTAACCATTGCTCAATCATCTTTAAGACTCCTCTAATATTATAAACAAATTTATATAATTTTCAATGACTTTTCATATTACATTTTTCTGTTCGTCAGTACAAATATATAGCGTGTTAAAATGAGACACTATTGATATGGATGAAATTATAGAAAGAGAAGTTGAGGTGAGAGAAGATGTGGAGAAGTATTAAATTCAACATATTTGATTTAAAAGAGAAAAGTTAAAAAGAGAAACAAATGTGTGGGATTCACATACTTTTTCAATCTTCCCACATGAGAAGAGAGTAGAAAGAGGAATAAAATGCCATTAATATCCTCGGTTAATATGAATGTTTATCTCAATTTATTTTTGCTATTCTAAGTTTTTATTATTCAATTAAACAACTTTACTTATATCTTTTTTCTAATATACTTGCAACATTGAGGGGAAATTATTTATTAAGAATTACGATTGTTGCCAAATCGTTTCATAAATATTTATAAGTTGATTAATCAAATTTTATTCATGAAAAAGAAATTAATAAAAATATTTAGTTTAAAAATATTAAATTGTTTAAAAAATTTAAAATTAAATCAAATAAATTAATCAACAATTATTATTTAAAAATTTAATATAAAATTAAGATAAATAAATATTTAATAAATAATCAATTAAATTAAATTAATTTGAACTAGGACATTTATGATTTTTTTTTTTGTAAAATAAGACACTTTTCACTTTATTCATTTATATCAAACAATACTACAAATCTCATCTATTTCTCTTTTATTAAATTTTTTCACATCTTTCTCTCTTTTCAACTTCTTCTCTCTTCGTCATTAAAAAAAAAAAAATTCTTCTCTCTTCAACATACGCTATATGAAAAATTCTCTTACTTTCATCATTGCATTTATTAAGTTCCTAACACTTTTTCAGCTTTTATGGAGATATAAAAAAACTTCAACATATAATAATATATAATAATAATACAACATGAAATCCAACATAATCAACACACTATTATTAAATTAAATAGAATCTTAATAGAGATGAAGTCAATGCTGAGATATTATATGTAGTATTTTATTTTTGTGTGACGCATTAACATATGCATGAAAACAAAATTAAGTGCAGAAATAGAATTTTCAAATGTTGTAATACCACTTAAAAAACATTAACCCAATTCTTCTCACAAAAGCTGTTTTTCTTTTCAATGAAAATGATCGGAATGTAACTTGAAGATTATTTTAAGTTTCATTTTCAACTATCTATGACACATAATTAATTATCGTGTTGTTTCCTGATGTTATTTTAAATTTTTATTCATACGGTATTTCAATAATGCACCTTCTCCCTTGGCCGCATCTCTTGTAAATTGGGATTAAAAAATATACATGTTATGGTCTTCTTGACTATTTTTTATATTCCAGGGTGGTTAATATTCTCGTGACATTATTCTTTTAATTCATGTCGATAAAGTACACTTCAACTCAGATTAGGTAGCCTTCAAAAGAAATACAAAATGCTAATTAGGTTTGACATTTTGTAGGCTACTGAAAGCAATAAATTCCCTGTCTTAAAAGGCCACCATTGAAGGGTTTGAATTCTATATTTTTACTCAAATATTTTTTTAAAATTATTTTACATCAATTTTTTTATAATTGTCTATGGTTAAGGTTGTGGTTGATATTTCCATTTTTCTCTAATCAATTTTAAAAAACAGATTCAGTTAGATCAAATTTATTTTTGGACACAATTTTTTAGATATAGTGTTATACTTTTATTGTTAGGATTCGAAAGAAAAATTAATCGGTATGGACTCTTCGGTGCTGACCATTAGCATGAAAATCTTTTATGCGAGACTCTTTTTCTACGAATGAATGTTATGTCTTCATCCCAACCTCAAACACAAAAGAAATCTTGTGCACAAACTCTTTAAAATATGTGTAAAATATCACTTTTTAATTTTGTTAAGTTTTACCTCAAAGGTCATCGTCACTCGATCAAGATACATAAAGGGACTTACAAAGCAAGACTCGAATGCCACAAGAATAATTTGCATGGGTGATTGATCAATAGTAAAGGTGACAGGTCATTGAAGACACCAACATTACATAACAAATTCATGAAATTATGGAGTTTAATCACTAATTGGGGTTTAACTCCTTTGGAACGTGACTATTTTACAATTTCATTAAAATCATGGGAGGATCTCAACAAAATTTGGAGAATAGGGACAAGGAATGTTAAGTTCTCGTAGCTGCATTTTTTTGCATGGATGCCAAATTTTAGATATGATAATTTGAGTATTACACATGCTCAAGTATGACTAATAATACATGGTTTTCTCTTACAGTATTGGGAACCAACTACTTGATTTGCAA